TTGGCCTCACTTCCCAGCTCTCACACCCAGAGCTCTCCCTGGCTTATGGAACCTTGCACATAAAGTGCACTGTCTGGTCAGGGCCATGTCATATAATCAAGGTGATGCCTTGACAAATCTCCATTATGCATGCAGTGTTTGTATGCAGCATGTACAGTGGAGCACAGCAGTGCCTGTTGGAATCAATGGAAGTGGATTTTAGGACAATGATCTGATGGAGAGTAATCTGCAGGCTCCACAATACAGGAATTTAGCTCTAAGAATTTCTCTGAGGTGCCTGTTTAGAAGAGGTCCTCCGTGAGTCTTTCTTTTGAGCCTTACAAAAGCCCCTATGAGCTGTTTGGGTGACACCCTACACTGCTGATCTGGTTATCCCCAACCTAAGAATAAAAGCAGCCACTGTAATACTCAAAAGAGACAGGCAAGGGAAATGGGCCTGAATAAAAACCTCCCCCTACGCAGCCCTGGCCTGCGCATGTGTGTGCATTTGAAAGGGAGAGAGAGAAAGAGAAATGCAGAACAACAGTACGTGACTTGATCCATCCCTTGTAATATATAACAATGCACCATCATATTCAAGAAGGGCACATTACAATGGATGGAGCAGAGCAGAGGAGTGGTACCCATACAGCTTGGGTAGGTACCACTCTAGGTTTCTCACCTTAGCTTCAGTACTGACTCCCTCTACAACGTAAGGTGTGGTCTCAGTTTCCCAACTTGTGAATAGGGATAATGAGATTCATGTCCTGGTCCCATAGTCCTATACAGGCAAATAGACTCCCAAGAATTGCTTACCTTGAGGGATGTGTGGAAGTGAGTGAGTCCTTGATGGGAAATATAGCCTGCTGTTGCTGTACAAATCTGAAGGCGACACTGTGGCCCAGATAGCAGGGGGTCCCACTTGGCTTAGTCACATCGTATCTACAGAGTTCTGCTAGGGCCCCAAGTGTCTGACACTAGCTCTAGGCCATGTGTAGATGAAACAAATGGCATGTGTGCACATCACTTTAAAGTGGGCTAAATGCTTTTTCACTGCTTTAATGGTGTTGGTGTTTGCACGCCTCTGTGGCGTATTGCGCATTAATTCCAGCCGCTGTAGGAAATTTGGTGGCGTAATGCACCTTAAATACAGCCATGGAGAAAAGCACTGGGCTCCGTGCAGCTCCGTGGCATTGCAAGAAGCCCTGCAGGCAGCAGCCCGGGAAGGCAGGCTCCACTCAACCAGGACCACCTGAGCCAGATGCCTGAGGGTGGGTGCCGCCTAGGAGGTACCGCAGCCAGGAAGGGAAGCACCAGGCCCCCACTGCAGCCCAGGGACCGCTCCGCCTGTCTGCAGCTCATTCTCCCCTCCCCGCCACCAGAGAGGCAGGTTAGATGAGCCTGATCCCTGCCCCCTGAGCCTGCCTGCCTGTCTGAGTGGTACGGGGGGCCTGGTGCTTCCCTTCATGGCTGCGGTGCCCCGCAGAACTGCCCGAGCCGGGTGTTGCCTGGGGGTGGCCATCGCTGCCACAGAGGGAAGCACCACCAGAGAGGCAGGTAAGTGTGGGGTATGTGCATGACACGGGGGTTTTAAGGGCCCTAAATTGAAATGGTGGGTTTAAAAACCCACTGCTTCGATTTAGGGCCCCTATTTCATCTACACACACCCCAGGTAAGAATCAATGTACTAGAATGAGAAGGGACTTCAAGCAACATCTAGGGTCGAATTCTGCCTCACTTTATTTGCCGCAATGAGAGTTTCCCAAGTAGCCTTGTTGGCACTTAGGCACAGTTTCCAGTTCTATTACCCATACAGTATGAACCTGTACATTTCTAGACAGCTACTGAGCATGCACAGTAGGCTACACACTGGCTGGACAGGTACACAGAAGACACAAAATTCTACTTGACATAAATCAATGAGGGCTAGATAGATACCAGAAGGGAAGGGCGTTCCTTTGCATTAGGCCAAATAGCTGACTGCTTTTCCCAAGGAAGCAGGAAGCAGAAGTTTCAGGAATCTTTCACTCAGAAGGGTTTGAACCTACATATGCTTTCATTTCCCAGCACAGTGCTCTCACCACTAGCTTCAAGTGTTATGCAACCTTGCTTCTGAAGCTGCCTGTCTGAGCAGCCATGAGAGGCAAATATGTGGGACCAGGAGGAAGAGCCAAATCTTGAGAGTTTATGCCTCAGTAAGATGACTGTTGCTTTGGAAGGGAGCAGTGTTTCTCTTAAATGGACAGAAACTGCCCCACTGCTATGTTATCCAATGAACAATAAAGGCAAGATGCAGTGGATCAGCTTTGAAAGCAGGGTTGTAGCTAGGCTAGGAAAATGCCGAGCAGGTAGAGCACTCTGCTAAGGAGTCAGAAATGCAGCTTTAAACACCCTTTGAGTGAGGGGGGCCTAGTGCCTGAGTCTCCTGCTTCCCTGGTGAATGCCCTAGGTACACAGCTATCAAGGCGAAAATTTAGGAGGTTCCCTCTCCTGCTGATTCTTTAAGGAACTACATCTATGTGCATGCATACTGCCTGGCTAGTACTTAACCTACAGAACATGAGCAGTAAGCTGTATGGATACTTATGCGTTTACATTGCACGGGTGATAGAATCGCAAACAGTGCATATGTGCCAAACATGCCCCTTACCTAACCGGAAAACTGCCTTTTAGGCACATGGAGAGAAAGAATTCTGTCTCTAGCTCAGCTCCCAAAAGCAGAATCATAAAATCATGGAAAAGGAATCTGTAGTCATGTCTCCATGTCCATCAGGAAGGGGGCTGGGTGTGGGCTGGGGCAGAGGGCAGCCTGGCAGAGTTTTTTAAACAGAGATTCTCCCTCTCTGCTGGGTGTAGCTTACCATCTGTGGGCTGCTCCCATATATGAGATGACAGCTCCCTCAGCCAAAAGACTGGGCTCTTCGATAATCCCTCAAGCACTCTGAACCCCAGGCTGTTTACAGCACTTGGATCACGAATGACTGACATTGCAGAATGGATCTAGGAACGTTTCCATCTTCATTTCAGATGAAAGACGAAGCATTTGGCAGCATTGAGCTTGTAAGCATTCATGTGTGTGGAGAGGAGGGGTGACAAGTCATTTAACAGCATCGATTCCGCACATGGGTGTGGACGTGGGTGCGCATACGTGTACACGTGTCTGAGCGTGTAGAGGTAAGGGGGGAAAGGGTGCTTCGATCAGATATGCCAACAGAGGAAGAAACATTTGCTGACAACATCTGCGTTTTTTGCTGACTGACACGCCAGAACTTTGGGGGTTTTATTAACAAAATTTTAGATATACAAGCAAAGCCAATGAATGACATATGAGAGAATGCTTGTATTGGGCCAAGCTCAGTCTGGCTGTATGTAGGCCACTTATACCAGGGCTCAGTTTGGTCCACAATAATGACAATTACCATTCAAGACAATGGCTTAGGTCTACATCATAGAGGAGGAAGTGGTTATGCAGGTAGTAGTTTATTTTCCTATCTCTGATACTGCCTTCTCTTGTGCAGTTCACTTTGCTACGCTGCTTCTGTTTCCTCCTTTGTAAAATTAGAATGACTTTAATTATTTGTATTACCTAAAAGCCCAACTATGGTCAAGATCCTATTGCATTAGGTCCTGCACATGCACAAAACCACTGTCTGCCCCAAAGACCTTGCAATTTGAGTAGGTGGAGGGGGACCAGACCCTGAGGTCCCATGGCAGCTCTGTGGCAAAGCCAGGAAAAGAACCTTAGTGTTTTAACTTTCATCTGAGAACTTCTTGCCCTGGGACCATGCTGCTGCTCTGATAATCCTGACCCACTTAATATTATCTATGTAATAAAAATATATCCTGTCTGTACCTAGTGCTAGTTGAGTCAACTCTTTGGTTGTATTTGGAAAGAGGTCAACCGAATATGGTTGAGGAAAGTTCTGTGTCAGTGTACAAAAGGTGGTCAGTGCAGGTCTATCCCAAATGACTTTGTTGGGCATTGCAGGCTGTCCAAGGAAGGGCAGTGCAAGCATAGTCATGCCTGGTTTCACTCAGCACCAAGGCTGGCTGGATCCAAGCTGATCCCCTCTCTCTGGCCTGTCACCAAGTGTCTATGAAGGGATGATTTTGAACAGACAGTAGCTTGGTGATAAGGGAATAAGCAAGGCTGAGAGGGGACTTGAAATGCAAAATCCCCACACAAAGACTTCAACTTCCTCCTCATCCCAAACTCAGGCATGTCTACACTAGATGGCAGCACATCCCAGCAAGGATGGTCCTGAGTGTCTTATTGACCCACTCCCATCCACACATTCACAATGTGCTAGTGAGGACACTGTGGGGATCTCCAACATGGTTGCCCTCAAGCCCTTGCTTTCCAGTGGACTTGAGAGCACAAGAAATCCACTGTGTCTTCAGAGGCACATTTCTGGGTTGGAGAGTCTGAGAAAAAGTGGGTGGATGGGACAAAGTGGGAGTGTTTGTGCAAGCGATGCTGATGCTGCTGTGATGCTGACAGGCCGTTAAGGGCCAGCCTATGACATTTAGATGCTGGTCTACATTTCCTAAACCCCTGGGGAGCCATGGACACTTGATGCAGCCTTTGAGGGATGGACATGAGGTGTCTGGGAAGCCAAAGCCCAGCTGTGTGACATAGCAGCTTGGTTTGCTAGGGCTACATAAGAAATAAAACTTTCAAACCCAAGCCCTGGCAATTAATGTGTCTCTGACCTCCACGTTAATCACATGCTGGATTGGCCCACTCCTGTGATGCCAACTCCATTTTCTGGCAGAAAGGGGCATGTTGGTGCTCACCTCTGGGGCCATAAGAAGGTTATGAATATCAGCTACAAGGATGGTGGTGCAGGGCTGACAGGCAGCGCAGGGGCTGCTGGAGCAGGCCAGCAGAGGGAAGGGTTAAGTGCGATTGGGAGGCTCTGACATTTTGCTAATGTGCTGTGTTAATTGATTCGCTCATTTCCATTTGTTCCTGTTAAAGAGAGACAGATGAGAGTGATCCTGCAGTGCAGCGACTTGGCAGGGAGCGTCTCCACTGAGTGCAGATGTGCTCCTGACTCATTTATTACCATCAGGTCTCCAGGCTACTGACGAGTGAGCGCGCTGAGTATAGCTGCTTTTTCAAGGCTCTGGAAAGGAGCAAGGGAACTGGGCCTTGAGTCCTTACTTCTCATGTATTGAGGCTGTGTCCAAATGCACCCTGCTTCAACAGCGAGGCTTACCTGTAGTTCACCAGCTGGGGGCTGCCAGGAGTAACTGCATGGAGTGCCGGATTCAGTGGCAGCAGGTGGGTCCTTGCTCCCTGTCCCCTCCTCTGGGTTTCCTCCACTGCCCTGAAGGCTCCAGTTGCAGGAAGTAGCTATGCAGGGTCCTGGACTGGGTTGGAGATGGGCAGCATTGGTAGGCAGTCTCTCCTTTTCAGTGCCTGCTCCAAGCCAGTGGGGAACCTTGGGGTGACCAAGCAGAGAGCAGGTTCTGGAAGGAGGGATCTGCCCACCACTGTCACTGTCCCTAGCTATGCCTGGTACCTCCTGAAGCCACTCACAATGGTCCCCAGCTGAATTGGGGCACGAGTGACCTGGAGTTTCCCCCACCACTGAGTCATCCAGGGACAGGGGTGGTGGGGGCAGGTCCCCGCTTCCTATGCCCAGAGGCAACTGCAAGGAGAGGTGCCATTGAGCACTGAAGGGGAGAGGGTGCCCAGATAGGGGTTGAGGGTGCAGGTGTGCTATGGTGTAACATGTCTCCAGGTGTTTCAGTTTCACCCCCCACACCTCCATTTTTGAAATCCTACATCTGCCCTTGGCTGCGGCCTTCAGCACAAGCCCACAAGACCCACAGAACAGAAGCCTGAAAGCACTGAAATGAGGTTAGAAAGAAAAGTCTCTTGCTGCAGCTGCAGAGCTAGGGCGGTAGAAGGAGCCCTTGGAGATGGGAAGAAAGAGGACGCAGACTGAGTGACAATATAGACAATATAAGACACTATATTTGGGGGATTATTGGGGCTCCAGGCTTTCCAGCCCCTATCAGGTCTATGTCAGCAGCCTCAGTTGTATGTTGTAACATGGCCTTCCCATCCCTGGGAAGGAAGAGAGTTATTATTAGGGTGACCATACATCCAAGTTTGGCCGGATGAGTCCTGGATTTTGGAGGCTAGTCCCAGTCAGGAGGTGAAAATTTAAACAAGCGTCCTGGGGGTGGGGCATAGGGTGCAGTCCAGCAGGAGGGTGGAGCAGCATGAGCTGTGAAATAGGAAGCCACAGAACACATCAAAATTGCTCTAAAATAGGTTAGCTTGATTAGTGGAATGACCATTACAAAGGGGAGACGATAGTTTACACCTGTGAAGTAAAGAGCAATGGGTTATTAATGGGTCATTGACTTCCTTAGCTGCCTGAATAGTAATAGCAATGTTGCATCACACCTGCCTGCCCCTTGGGGGGGGGTCCCAGATTTCACATTGTCCCATATGGTCACCCTAATTATTGCAGATTGGGCAAGGGAAGGGTATCAGTGGCACTCGGGGAAGGTGCATGATTAATTTATGGCATGCCAGCCAAAAATGTTGGTCTCCACTGGACTGGATGATTCCTGAAATCCTCAGATTCTGTCACTAACAACAAAGTACTGCAGCAGCACCCTCCAGCGTTCATGGGATCTCAGGGTTTAAACAAATAAGCAAGTTATCTTGAGTTCAATAGGGGTCTGGGTTTTATCACAGAGCACCTAGTGTGTAGTGACTGTCCATGTGCTGAATTTACTCCATGGTTAGTGAAAGGTAAGTGGTTGCTCAGCACTGTTTCACTGAGGAGTATGGTATGGAAACAGATCTCAGCTGACATCTCATTTGTGCCTCCTTAAAAATGTTTATAGCATCACAAAATGTGAGCAAATAGATGTTGCTGCCCTTTGTTGCACCACATCAAAGGGAAATAAGGTAGTAATAGACTGCTGCTTTATTGTGGCAGACATCTAGCTCTGAGGCAAGAGAGTACAGGCAGTCTGAGCTGCTCATACTCTCCAGCCACCCTGGGCAGGTGCTCTTGGGGACTTGAGGGTACCTCAAGATCCTGGAGCACGTGCCCACTTTCCCCATTGCTGAGAGGCACCCTAGGAAATCTCAGGGTGCCTCTCCATAAGAGGGGGGTTGGGTTTTCCCACTCAGCCAGATCCATCCCCTGCAATCACAGGAACAGGTCTGGCAGAGCAGGGAAAGCAGGGCTTTTCTCTGTTCAGCCAGGATCACTCCTGCAATTATGGGGAACAGGTCAGACTGAATGGGGGAAGCAGAGAGATCACCTCATCCATTGTCCCACACCGTCAAGGGTGAAACAAGGGATGATAGGTGTTTTGCCTACTTCAGCAGATCAGCTGTGCCATAACCCATCGTGGCACAGCTGAGCCACTTCATTTAGTGATGTCTGTTTCTAGCCATGGTTTAACTTTCAGTTAGTTTGAGATAAATGTGAGCACGTGGACAGTCACTGCACATCAGCCACTTTGCAGTAACAAACCACCCCCTTTGAACTCTCTGTCATTTGTTCTTTTTCCTAGCCCCTGAGAACGCATTATGAAGCCTACAAACTAGTGCAATTAATATCCCCATCTTTCAGGTGGGTAAACGCAGAAGGGTTATGAAACTTGTCCCCAGCCACACCGGGAGTCAAGCCCAGAGAGAAATGGTGTGTGCTGGTTTCCTCCTAGCCAGGCATAGGAACCATATGTGAGGGAGAGATGTTGGGCTGCGACTACCTGCACCATTTCTCCCCTGGAACACTGAAGAACAGGGGCAAATTCTCACCAGAGCTACCATCTCCCATGCCCTTATCTTATTAGATCTGGCAGTGTAGACAAAGGCCATCCAAAGCCCATCAGCCTCTCTTGCCTCTTACCCATCTACCTATATGCAGTGTGTGGTTGCAAAGAAAGCAATGCTCAGTGATCACAATTAGCTGAAGTAGCTTGATCCCATTTTTTGTCCCTTTTTTGGCCAGATCAAAACGTTTCATTTACATTTCATTTTCAATAAATTTTTTTATGGAAAAAATCAAACTGAAGATGTTTTAGACATTTTAATTGAAAAATCAAAATTTTCCTAAAAATGCAAAGGACATTATTTTATTCATTGTCTGTCCAAAACAGATTTGAAGCAGCTCCTCAAGTGGCCAGGCTCTGGCGCACACTGTCCTGGCCCAAATGGTAGTTTGCTTTCATCGTGGTGAAACTTCTGTCTGACTGTCGCGCTGAGCAGAAGCAGAAAAGAATGAAGACCTCTTTGTTGCCAGGTGTGAGAGTCAGAATGTCACTTCCCGCAGCATTCTTGGAAGCAAGCTAAGGAAGTATGGGCTGGATGAATGGACTCTAAAGTGGATAAGAAGCTGGTTGGATCGTCGGGCTCAGTGGGTAGTGATCAATGGCTTGAGGTCTAGGTGGCAGCTGGTATCAAGTGGAGTGCCCCAAGGGTCAGTCCTGAGGCCAGTTTTGTTCAATATCTTCATTAACAATCTGGAAGATGGGCTGGATTGCACCTTAAGCAAGTTTGCAGATGACACCAAGCTGGTATAGAGTAGATATGCAGGAGGGAGTCCAGTGGAGGGTACTGAAAACAGTTTGTGGGCTAGGGCACATGACTTATGAGGAGAGGCTGAGGGACCTGGGATAATTTAGTCTGCAGAAGAATTGACTTTGATAGCAGCCTTCAGCTACCTGCAGGGTGGTTCCAGTGAGGATGGAGCTACACTGTTCTCAGTGGTGACAGATGACAAAACAAAGAGCAATGGTCTCAAGTTGCAGCAAGGGAAGTTTAGGTTGGATATTAGGAAAAGCTTTCTCATTAGGAGGATGATGAAGCACTGGAATGGGTTACCTAGAGAGGTGGTAGAATCTGTTCCGTGTGAACAAACTCTCCATCCCCTGAACTCTACTGCCCAGGGGATGGTTTTGGCACCAAACCAACTCCCTCTCCTGCCCCCAAGGTGTGACCTTCTCACCCTCAGGGATGCAACCCCATGCAAACAACCTGCAGACCACATGGCAGCTAGCCAGGTCACATGTCATTGATGGGTCAAGGAGTGGGGTCTAGGAGGAGCGTGTGTGTGTGTGTGGGGGGGGGGGGGACTTCCTTCCTGGGCCAGAGGCAATAGCTCCCCCCAGAGCATCTTCCCTCCTCACAGCCACCCCATGAACCATGATCAACAATGCCAACACCCCAAACCCAAACTCCAATTTATTAGAACATGAGACTTTCTTTAATGTACTTCCTCTTTAGTTCTTTTAAAATTCTTTGTTTTTATTCTTTCTTTTCATTTTATTGTTCAGTGACTGGCTTCCTTTCTACTTTGTGCTAACTGAGGGACATTGTGAAAGTGATGTGCACCGAAATATCCTGGGTGGATCTGTGCTCCTCGTTCATTGTCTGTGACACGTGTTTCTGTAGTCACCATGTCCATTATGGTAACATTCACTGCCACCCTGTGCTTGTGTGTACTGTCTGCTGTTGGTGAGTACCAAAATAGTCTTGTAAAAGTGGTAGAAATGGGTCTGGGGGTCAGTACAGTCCAGGCCTTGGAACGTATCCCTACTTGCTGCATTGTAAAGTGGGTTCCCTTTATACAAATTTGAGTTATACTCTGTTTTCCAGGAATGCATGTACAGCATAAAGAGAGGGAAACCTGTACTTTGAATTTGCACCCTCACTCATTGTGCAAGAGCTCCTCTGTACAGCTGGACCTTCACACTGATGTTCTGCTGTATTGTTAAGAAGATATGAAACAGAAGGCAATGTAGAGCCCCAGCATCAGCATCCGATGAGGAAAGCTGTACGTGGGTTCCTCACAAGATTTCAACCCTTCACTGGAACCTATGTTGGGAGTGCCCTAAGGTATATCACAAACTGCAGAACATGGCTCATGGGGAGTATCATTAGGCAGCTGTGTTCAATTCAGTGACTGAAAATGTTTCAGGATTCTGCACGGTCTCCAGGCTGCAAATAGGTATATTGCTTGCCAGCTAATAGCTCACTCATTTGCAAGACTGCTACACATTTGCTTCAGAAGACCATCAGCAAGCCCTGAATTGCATCACACCCCTCTTCCTGTCTCTGCAATAAAAGGCAAAGGCTTGTAGCAGTTCCTTAGTAGTATATTACATGGACAGTGAGGATTCCCAGATTCCTTGGTGTTGCCAGGCCCACTGGGTGGATCGTCTTCATAATCACTTAGAAGGGCTCAGATAGGGAAATGACTTGCAGCGTTCTATATAGATTTAATAGATTTTTAGGGTCGGAAAGGACCTCAGTAGATCATTGAGTCCAACCCCCTGCCCTGGGCAGAAAAGAGCGCTGGGGTCAGATGACCCCAGGTAGGTGCTTGTCCAGTTTCCTCTTAAAGACCTCCAAGGTAGGGGAGAGCACCACCTCCATTGGAAGCCCATTCCAGATTCTGGTAACCCTTACCATAAAGAAGTTCTTCCTGATGTCTAGTCTAAATCTGCTCTCTGTCAGTTTGTGGCCATTGTTCCTAGTTACCCCAAGGGGTGCCCTGGTAATTTTCCTTCCCCCCCCCCCCCTCCCCCCCCCCCCGATGAATTTGTAGATGGCCACAAGATCACCTCTCAGCCTTCTCTTGCAGAGGCTGAAGAGGCCCAGGTCTCTCAATCTCTCCTTGTAGGGCCTTACCTGCAGGCCCCTAACCATAGGAGTAGCCCTCCTCTGGACCCTCTCAAGGTTATCCACCGCCTTCTTGAAGTACTGCGCCCAAAACTGGACACAGGTTGTGAGAGATGTTATTATATAGATGCTTGATAGTCACCTCCTGGCTGTGATATGGAAAGCCAGTTATAAAGGGTATCAATGCTGAAGAAAATGTTTTACGAACAAAAGGAAAGAGGTAGGAAGAAAACCAGACATAAGAATGTGCCAGGGTCAAACCACCTCCTATAGAGGAAAGGGCAAAACACAAACACATTAAATCAGCCCAATATTTAGGTTGGAGAAAAGTCGAATACAGATCTGAATCTCAGGAGTTGGAGTATAAGCCCTGGATCAAAATAAACTTCTCCCTGTTGGTTCATGGTGGGATCCAAAACCAGAAGGAACTGTTCTACAGGCCTGGTTCAGAAAGGATTGAAATCTACAGTGGATATTCGTGTTTGGTTTAGTTTGGCCAAAGCTCAGTAGAATAGCTAACCTTAGAAGATGACCTGTATTCAAGGAGGAGGTTATCCAATCATTGTCTTTATCATCTTGAAAGGAAGAAGTTGTCATAGGTGCAACTGAGCCATAGGTGACTAGGGCTCAATATTTGGGGGGCATGAGCCTGAGACTCAGGAATAAGCCAAGTCAGGGAGCAAGAGGTCAGAAACCTGGTGTCAAGGGCCAGGAATTACAGACCAGAACTAGAACTTGACCTAGGAGCCATGCACTAGGGACTAGGAACCAGGAAACTGTAAGATAGCAACCAGGGACTGGGAACTGGACACCAGGAGCTAAGGGGGAAGGGGGCATTGAATCTTACCTGCTCCTGCTTTCTGAACTCTGGCAGCAGCTGCTACAGCTTCTGCTGTAGTAGCTTGAGCATCACTGCTGCATCTGAGGGACAGGCTCACTAAACACTGCTGCAGCAGCCTGGCCAACATGGGCTCCATGGGACTTCTCCAGGTGCCCCATTCACTCCCTCTCCTCCCCAAGCTAGGCTCCTGAGTGCAAAGCTGTACCTCCCATAGCAAAACCTCTTAAGGGAGGGGGGAACATTACACTCACCTTGCTCACCCCTCTCCCCTACAGATTACATAGGGGCATGGGGTTGCACCTGCCTGGCTTCTAGGACTGAGCTGCCCTGTTGTGGACAAGACTCCTGGGGGAAGAGGTGGGGCATATTAGTGCTCCTCCAAATTGGTGCTGGGGCCTTAGTTACACTACTGAATTATAATATATGGAGGGGCATCTGATTGGGTTGGGGTGGGTTGGTAAAATATGTTGGTTTTTGTGAATTTGGCAGTGAGTCCAAGCTTTGCATACACTTCACAGAAGTAATCAAGACAGATCTGCAGCTCTTCAAGTGAGTGATCACACACAACACAGTCATCAGCATATTGGAGACCAGTAATGGAGGTGTTGGTAATATTATATTTGGAACATAACTCATTGATGTTAAAGAGCTTGCCATCCATGCAATATTGGATACTGGCTCCAGATAGAAGTCAGTCACCAATGGGATACAGAACAACTGAAATCCAGATGGAAATAGTGTTGAGTCAAACAAGAATGTGTGATTGCACCCAGTTCTAGTAGTGAAGGTGTCCTATTCTGAGCCATTGCTTAAGATGGTTGCTATTATGTCAGTGGGAGGAAGTCTGATGATGGTAACACATTTTGGTGGGCATCCAAATCTCATCAGGATTTTCCATAATGCCTCTCTTTTGATTGCATCAAAGGCCTTAGTCAGGTCAATGAAGGCCATGCAAAGATCTCAGATTTATCCTACCTCTGAATGGTCTGAAACCAGATTGGGACCTGGATAGGATCTCCTCAGTGAGGAAAATTAGTCTTTTGAAAAGAATGCAGAGAAGGATCTCCCAAGATAAAAACAACAGTTCAAAACCATGCTAATGGCTGCAATCCAATCTATCTCCTTTCTTAAATATGGTAATGATTCTGGCATCTTTCAAATCTCTAGGAATCTGTTTATGAATCCAGATTCTCATGATCATGACATATAATTGGTGATTAACATGTTGGGTAGAACTGAAAGGGCTGCTGTTTATATACCAACAGCCACACCCATGCTGTTAATTGGGGCCAGCTGGAGGTATTCAGGCAGCTACCAGCCAATCTCAGGGGGCTGGTGAGCCTGCCTGCTGCCCTGGCTTCTAACAAGGATCTGATGAAAACAGCTTGTGTGAGATTTCAACACAGGAGAATTTCAGTCAGATTCTTACTGCTCAATCAACCTCCAACCTGAACTCTGACCCCAGCCTAAACTTACTGTTACTCCCAACATTGCTGAAATGTGCTCATCTCTGATTTCAAACGGACCTTCCTAAGACCTCTAAAGCTAAGCCTTCTTTTTCCTTCCTCTGTGGATTCCTGCCTGTGACTTGTTTTCAGCTGTTCAAACCCATTCATGTTTTCTATGGGGATGTACTGGCTGGAGGTGTTGAAGAAAAATAATATTTAAAGGTGAATGGAAAAGATTGTCCCTGCCGAGCCTTGAGCTCAGAGCTCAGAACTTCTTATGCAATGATTGGTGAAATAACCAACATGTTTATATCAAAGGAGAGAACTAGCTACTGCCCTGAGTCTGCTTTAGGTATCAATAATCTCAATAGTCTTCCTATTGATGTATCACCTATGTAGAGCTCTTGGATCCCACAGGATCCCAACAATCTGCCAACATGCTGCATGCTGTAGCCATGGAAAGCAGCCACCTCTGGGTGAAAAGTGAGAGCCAAGTGGCTGTGCTGTGTGATGACTTGAGTGGGAGGATAGGGGCGGGGGGTGCAGGGAAAGGGACCCAGTCCTAAATACCAGAGCAAAACAGGTGAAACACATCAGCTGTGGGATCTTTAACTTTTCACATTCACACTGAGCCAAGAGCAGCCTTGGCTTTAAATGCTTTTGTCCAAAAGACAGACACGGGGTCATTTCACAGGATTTAGTTTAGCTGCTTTGGAAGGATAACTAGAAAAGAGGCTGATCTGAGACTGTGGGGACCTGAACTGTGATTCCAAGAGCTCAGATCTGAGGCTTAGCCCACTGATCACAGTTCTTGGCTGGCAGGCAGTGGAGGAACAATTATTTAACTGCTTTGTCTGTACTGTGCCAGTCTTCTCCTAGACTCTGAAGAGGCGATGCTGATAGTTGGCAAGGGAATGAAGTGTACAGGGGCTTCATGTGTGACATTTACACTGGGGTGAATTAAACCCTGATGGATTTACTATTATAAACAGGTTGAGCTTTTTCTTAAGTATAGTTGCCCCTTTGGCCTCAGCGATTAGCCAGGATTTGGGTCCTTGCCAGCTTGTTTCCATTAGGAGGAGAAATTGATAATGGAGTCAGGGATTTCTTTGGTGCAGTCCTGCTTATTTACAAAGACTGAACACAGCGTCCTTCTCCCATGGACACAATACAACAAGCAGCAGCAGGCAGGCTCCTTGCTCCCGATTCCCACACCTGCCTTTCCTGTCAGCTCTGTGCCTCAAGGCACATTTGTCCCTGGACCCTCTCAGGGTCACACTCAGGACTGCTTCTCTTTGCTGTGCAATTGCTTTTGGCCTTTAGCACCCACACACATACAAATAGCTGCAACCAATCAATGCCTCAGTCCTAGTATTTGCAAGTAGTCCCCAAAGAAAACATTTTTATGCTCTGTGAGTTAATTCTTGCCTGGGCCTTCCCATGTGGCCAAGTGCCTTGGGCAGTAGCTTCAACCTTCAACTGTTT